CGCGTTCGTTCCCCACCATAGACACCTGCGGTCCAGAGTTTTGCAAATATCTCAGCAACGTTGTGGTTGTATTTCGCTTACTTAGTAACCTGCCATGAAAATTATAGAAGGCAGAAAACAAAACGTTAAACATTGTGATTTCAACTACAGCCATAGCTTAACTGGGTTCTATGCCGATTTGCGCTCCCCAGATCAACCCCGCTGACGGGTGATTGCTGTGGCAAAAAGATCGATAGAAATAGCTGAGAGACGTGCGAAACAAAGGACCCGCATGGTGTGGTGGTGAACGCGTTACTCCCCGGAAAGGACAATAGCGCGTTCGTTCCCCACCATAGACACCTGCGGTCCAGAGTTTTGCAAATATCTCAGCAACGTTGTGGTTGTATTTCGCTTACTTAGTAACCTGCCATGAAAATTATAGAAGGCAGAAAACAAAACGTTAAACATTTTTCGAAATGGTTTTTCTTTTAGGTGTCCATGATCGTTTGGCAGAGAGCGGATAGAACAGCGGTAGTGATGCTTATTACTACGGTGGTGACCCGATCCCACCTCCAGCTCACCAAGCCTCTCTTCCCTCGGAGGTGAGAAAATTTCTATGAGACTTGTCTGGAATAAGCTCATTTCTTACAATCTAGGTGAGGACGCTCTAACACAGCCGTAGCAGCTTTTAAGAGGTTTAATTCGACCAGAATTCAACGACATTCGTGAAGAGGACGAAAGAATTCTAAAGGAGCAGCCGAATTTACACCCACAAAAGTTGGAAGTCCCTTGTGGATGATAGATGCGAGGGAATGATGCGGATGAGAGAAATGCTACGATCCCCACAATAGACATGAAAGACGGGCGCATTAAAAGACTTTAAAAAATAATCTCTTTACAGTTGCAGCCATATTTCTGTGCTCACTTTCCTTTTTTTCATTATAGAGCAGCTAAAAAAAAAATAGATTTCCAAGACAGCCTGGGAAAATTCCCATCTCAGTGGTTGTGAGGCAAAATCGGTAGTTTTACTAAGACCACGGTAAAAGACGATATTATGATTTTTTAAGGACGTGGAACACTTCAAATCCGCAAATTTAAGGACAGCTTAAAGAAAAATCTGACCGCTTTCGTCATCGCTTCCGATTGCCATGTGCGCAATACCGTTTCTGATTTGATTACCTCCGTGAATCATAGGTATGGATCGACGTCGATCGCGACCAGCGTTTGGAATTTCTTGAGCCTGAAAAAAATCCTATATACTCGCTTGAATTTCTTTCTAATGGGTTTTTAATGAAAGCTCCTCATTTTCTCACGGTCCTTGTTCTGTTACTTACTATCTGGAAATTCTGTGAGAATAAAGCACCATCAGTTGTTTGGATAATTTTATGATACAACATTGCTAACAAGGTCAATTCAAACTTTTAATACCAAACTCAGCTACGACATCCCTTATCAGTTCGTTGGTCTTTCTAACTCCTTGTAGTGGTCAATATGGAATGACCAATGTCCGCAACATTAGCTACTTTCGAACCTTTAATGTGCTGGTCTATGTCCTCAAAATGAGATCCATTAACACTAAAGTACTACCTTGCTTTTCTCTCCATAATCTGAAGACAGTTATGTTAAAAGGGAACATTCTACGGGAAGATGGATTGAGGATTACGGTACAACGACCATATGGTGACCTACTGTAAACAGCTCAAACCACAAATACTGCAATACAAAGTATACCATTGTCGGTCGTCTTCGTCTTGAAAAAAAATGAGAAAGAAATTCAAAAAGAACATTGTCCAAACTTAAGCTGACCAGTTCAGTTTCGTCCTTACGTTGCAGGAATTTCTTCACACTCACTTCTATTTGTGAGTTATACTTCATGAATATCCCATAGATAATATAAATAAGAAACATAGTGAGTGCTTCATGCCATGTGATTTTCTCATCAGCGAAGAAGATCACCAGAAACAATAAAGCGATAATGTAGAACATCACATCCCTAAAGCACGTAACATAACTACTATAATGCTGAGATATTTGTAAAACTCCGGACTGCAGGTGTGTGCGGTGATGAACGAGCTCGCTATTGTCCTTCCCAGGAAGTAACGCGTTCACCACCACACTATGCGAGTCCTTTGTTTCGCCTGTCTCTCTGGTAGTTCTATTTTTGCACGTAACATGCTTTTTTTAGTCAATAACTTTTTGCTGGTACATCTTGTAATAGTTCCCAGGATCGACTTTCTCTTAACCTCGGCATTGGAATATGAATGTGTCGTTTTCTTGTTCAGCAATCGCGAGGTTTTTAAACAGCATACATTTACTTCCATAAAAACACAATACAATACAATACTAACTGACGTTTCGGCAGTATCGCCTTCTTCAGAGCCTGGAAGGGCACACTGATATACAATCTACTAGGCCAAACGCTTCAATGACACTTACAAAAAGACGACAAACGAGGTGGCTTTTCGAAACATGTTTCTCACAATCGCCCTCTTTGTGTGTGAAGGGTGGGAAGAAAGGAAATGGACAAGGATGTTCCTGTTACTTGGCTTTCGATACCACTTTGTCAGGCAACCGCTACTTGATAGGTTTATTTGGACGTCCAAAAACGGAAGCCAGTTTTCTCTCCGTTTCTCCCGGGTGAACTTTATTTACTCGGACTGCTCGTTCAATAATTCGAAGCATTTGTCCATCTCCTCCTGCGTAGAGAAGACGACAAAACATGCTGTATGCTGTTTAAAAACCTCGCGATTGCTGAACAAGAAAACGACACATTCATATTCCAATGCCGAGGTTAAGAGAAAGTCGATCCTGGGAACTATTACAAGATGTATTTATTTATGTGATCTTATAAAGTGATCTTCTTAAGCTGAGGCGAGGTTGGTACAGATCTTCGTTGTCGTTGTCGTTGTCGTTGTTTTTGATGTTATTGAACGATGGCTGACGTTTCGGCG